TATATATATATATATTCGCAGTACATAATGGTAACGTATGTCACAGCAAGCCTACACGTACATTACGCATTTTACAACACCACTTAGACCAACTCCAGGATGAATGATGCCAGCTATTTTAAAAGGTGCTGTGTGATGGTTTGCAAGTGTGCAGGGTGAGGATAGTCCCTGCATAAAGCTTCACAGAAAGCAGAGTTATGACATAAGGGCTGTTGGAGCCAAAGTAAGAAAAAAGTGAGGAGCAGTTGGGAGTTCCCAGTCTGAGCCAAGAGACACAGAGATTTTCTGGTGGTGGTTGACACAGCCTCAAATATAGAGCTAGAGAAAGCAAGGAGACATTGAGAATTGATTCCTTCATCAGAGTTAAGCAAACAAAAACTCCAAGTTGGAAAAACGGAAAAAGATCTGAGGCCATGTGTGAGACTTTGTTTGAAATAAGATGTCAGTGCCAGAAAAATATTTAACTGCCATAATGTCCTCTTATGAAGAAAACACTTTTTAAAAAATTACTAATGCCCCTTCTATTTCATATTCATCTAGAGTTTATAGGCCATATATGTACTGGACAGAAATGTACATAGACAACATATATGTACATATACAACAAATGTAAAGAGGCGAGGAAGAGGAATGTTTTCAGGACTTATGGAAATGAATGGTCATGTTTATGTTAGCCATCATGGATAATTCTTATACCCTTATTATATTTATTTGAGGAAATAAAAATGACAAAATAAATCTGAACAAAAATTGTACTTTATTGATTTTGCAGAGTTAAGAGGAAGATTTATGAGGCATGGAGCCTTCCACCAGGTATGGAAGAAACTAGAGTGAACGCAGAGGTGCCAGGCTGCCACTAAGGCCAAGACAACCCAAGATCACTCTACACGGTACAACATTAAGATTTACTAGTAATATGATGCTTCTGCAAAAGGAAAAGAAACTAGTGCCAAGAAGGCATATTCTTCGAGACCTGGAGTAGACGTGCTCTCAAGACAATGGCGTCAAAGGTCTCCTGCTTATATGTGTTGACGGTTGTGTGCTGGGCCAGCGCTCTCTGGTATCTGAGTGTAACTCGGCCTACTTCTTCGTACACTGGCACCAAGCCATTCAGCCACCTAACGGTTGCTAGGAAAAACTTCACCTTTGGCAACATAAGAACTCGACCCATAAACCCACATTCTTTTGAATTTCTTATCAATGAGCCCAACAAATGTGAGAAAAACATTCCTTTCCTTGTTATCCTCATCAGCACCACCCACAAGGAATTCGATGCCCGCCAGGCTATCCGGGAGACGTGGGGGGATGAGAACAACTTTAAAGGGATCAAGATAGCCACCCTCTTCCTCCTGGGCAAGAACGCAGATCCCGTTCTGAACCAGATGGTTGAGCAGGAGAGCCAGATCTTCCATGACATCATTGTAGAGGACTTCATTGACTCCTACCACAACCTCACGCTCAAAACTTTAATGGGGATGAGATGGGTGGCCACTTTTTGTTCAAAAGCCAAGTATGTCATGAAAACAGACAGTGACATTTTTGTAAACATGGACAACCTTATTTATAAACTCCTGAAACCCTCCACCAAGCCAAGAAGAAGGTATTTTACTGGCTATGTCATTAATGGGGGGCCAATCCGGGATGTTCGCAGCAAGTGGTACATGCCCAGGGATTTGTACCCAGACAGCAACTACCCACCCTTCTGTTCAGGGACTGGTTATATCTTCTCAGCCGATGTGGCTGAGCTCATTTATAAGACCTCACTCCACACAAGGCTGCTTCACCTCGAAGATGTGTACGTGGGACTGTGTCTTCGAAAACTAGGCATACACCCTTTCCAGAACAGTGGCTTCAATCACTGGAAAATGGCCTACAGTTTGTGTAGATATCGCCGTGTCATCACTGTACACCAGATCTCTCCAGAAGAAATGCACAGGATCTGGAATGATATGTCAAGTAAGAAGCATCTCAGATGTTAGAGTTTTTACCAATGTAAATATGTTTCTTTTCTTTTTTAAGAAATGGGGCCTAAGATGTTGGTATTTTACAGGTGTCACCAGGGGAAAAAGACTGATGAAGGGGTTTTGTAAAGGTTTTGCTTTCTTCTCCTAGTTTCTTTCTTGGATTACCAATTTACAAAAGTCAGGCTGTGATCATAGAAACAACAGTGAGTTAGAAGGGCCAGATTTCATTCTCAGCTCCTAAGACATTGCCATTTATATCAAGAAGGGACTTCCTAACAACTCCTAGGACTCAGGCACTGTGCACCTGAGATAAAAATCTGGTTCTGGAAAACTGAAGCTCACAATAATGTCTCCATCTCATCTCTGCAAAAATAAATAAGCAAACAACTTTTTCAAAAACAATTCAGAAATGACGCACAGTCAAGAAGACACACTGGATGTGATTATTAATGCTGTGTGTGTTATTGCTACACTGAATTTTTACATAGATTGCCATGTAATGTGTACAGTCTTTATATTTCAAATGAGAATTGGATTTAGTACTGGAAGGGAAGCTGCAGAGAAATAGATGGGAATTTAAAGTTGAGAGTCAAATGTTCTGTATGTTTGAAAGACAACTCTGCTTGCTCATCCGAGGATTAAGCCTGGCCAGTAGGTGGAATGTATATAAAATGCTACATAAAGTAAACAAGGTAAATTTTTTTGGTCTTTCAAAACAAACATTACATTACATTACATTACATGGTGCCTCCAAGGAGATTTTGCCAAATGTAATCATCTCACCTGCTTCCCTCTACATAATGCTAAGTGCATCTCACAGTTTCTGGATCAGGCAGGCCCATGCGTCCACAAAGAAACAAGTTGGCAGAAGGCCAGAAAACAATAATTCACATTAAGAGAATATGAAGTTATATATACGTATATATTATAATTAACATAAGCTTAGCAATAGTATAATGTGCCCCCTCCCACATATTTGCAAAGCATATGAGAAAATCCTAATGGGCATCAGTATTTTCTGAAAGATTTGGTCCTTCTGTTGATAGATGGAAAGCTGTTTAACCTCTGAAACACCCAAGCACCTTTAGAAGCATAGCTGTTGCTGGGGTTCTGGGTGGCTGTGACTCAAGTTTCTAGGAAGAAAAGATAAGGAAGCTTGGATTCAGATCCTTTTGAGGTCACCAAACTTAATGGACCACATGAGCAAACCTAATGTATTCCAATATGCTCATTTGTGAAATGGCTGTAAAAACACCTACCTCACAGGTGCCCTGAGAGCAAGTCACATTTGCTAAGTATTTTGAGATCCTTCGTATATAAGGTGCTACATATTGCAATGCATCATGCATTACACTAACTGCTAAAATGATTATGATAATTGTAATGATGGTCATGAAAAGTAATAAAATCATCTTAACATACAACATACCAAAATAGAAATCAACTATGAACTACCAATATACCTAATTCTGCCAAGATATTGATTTTTTCCTTGGGAATAAGGTCATTGTTTAGGGAACTTGCATTTCTCTACCATTTTTTTTCTGTGTTCAATGAGTAAGTTATTACTTCTGTGTGTTGCCTTGATATTCCAAGGTGCTGAAAGAAAGTCAGCTGCCTTTCTTTGGGGAAGAGCTTTATAAAGTGCATGAGGAAAATATCTCAGGAAACACTTGACCTGAATCCTCTTTAAGAACTTTGAGGACAGATGTAGCAAGTCCACCTCAATCAGAAGTCTAGGACCTCAGCAAGTCCACACATTGCACATTCATGTGTTTTAGAAAACTCCTTGTTCCCTTTCAATGAAAATCCCTTTTTCAAACCCCAGTTGAAAAAGTGCATCTAGTTGTTTATTATTTTTAACCTAACCTTTGGAAGCCCCCATAGAAGCTCATGTCAGACAGGTAGACAAATGGAGGTCATGGCCTATTTCTTGAAAATACTAGATGTCTCATTCCTGGTCCAAAGTACCAAATGTGAAAAAAAGACTTCCTGTCCCTTAATACATCTTTATCTTAGGGTCAGCAGGACTGATGATTTGGATGATAGACACTGTTAGGTAGCTTGGGGAGAGAGGCACAGCACAACATGAGCCGCACCCCAACCTCCACCCTGTAACCTCGACTGCTATGAGTTCCAACCACTGGGAAAGCCTCACAACTTCATATTTGCTTTGCCTCCCTGCTGGGCAGCTGAATCAAGCCTTTGTCTCATACTACTGCCTTGCATCCGCTCTGTATTCAGTCATGCTGTCTGTAGGGTCAAGTAATTGCACATTGTAAGCATCATGTTCAAATATGTATGAATTGTTTTATATGTGTCAATATAGAGTCTGAGTAGACCCCCTACATTGGAAAGCAAGCAAAAATCAGAAAATCATGTCTTAATGAACTCTTTCCTAACTTTTTTTATGCTAGGCAGTGTCCACGTGACAAGTATGTAAATATTCATCAAAGACCACATGTATATATTTTAAAGTTTTTTTCTTCTTCCCAGTTGTATATACATCTAGAATTTGCTTGCTGTGTAATATTTTCTTCTGCATGGAACGTGGTGGTAAGGCAAAGCCATTTGTCCAATATTTCAATAGCCTTAAGCATGTTTACCTTTCTTTTATGAATGTTCAAAACACCATTTAAGTGATCAAGTAGAAGTTTTAACTTTTTACTTTTGTTAATTTTATGATGTGAAGTTGACCAAATTATTGCTTCAGTTATTTTTCAGGCCATTATTACCATCTCTGACATAAAATAATGTTTCATGATAAATGGCAGTATTCTGGGGCTGGGGATGTAGCTCAGTGGTAGAGTGCTTGTCTAGCATGTGCAAGGGCCTGGGATCTATCCCCAGCACTGTAAAAATACTACTAACAATTTAAACAGCAGTGTTCTACCAGGAGTCATTCAGATGATTTTTACAGAAACTTTCTGACTTCTCCCCCAACTATGTCCATTATACACTGGATAACATTGTCTATCAATAATCAGTGTTTATATTCTTAATGTTTCTTTTTAAATTTATTTTTAGTAAAGAAAAAGTTTTATCTTTGGTGGCTAATTTGTGTGACTTTGTGTCTCCTTATATTGAAGCAATTTCAATATACCATAGGGCACTTTTCAATAACAAGAATCAAAATGAAGATGATTTTCAATTTGAACCAAATTCAGAAGAACAAACCCCTTAGGTGTTACGGGGGAAACTAACTCTTTACAGAGAAACCAAGGAAGGAGTTTTTCAATTGAATTTCTTCTACCAAAAGACAATGGATATTTATGTACAGTGTCTGGGATTCATTTTCTACCTTTCCTAATGTGTGGGATTACTGGGGGAATTGATTATGTCATTTCTTCTGTAAAGCTGAAGACAGTTTTTATGAACAATGAAGTGACTTGTGAATGAAAGATGTAATTTACTAGAAACACTTGTTGATCATTGACATTTAGATATATCATTATATATGAATGATTGTATTTATGTATTTATTTGTTCAAAATTGTACATACCGTTTCGCCAAAAGTAATTGTCCGTAAAGTGCACTCTCCCGATTTGTAGTACTACTTAGGGTTACTTGGGTTGCCAATCAAGCTGCTAATCAGAATACTATTTTTTGTATCAATGTTTAAAACTAAAAGATGATAAATAGATGCTGACAATGTCTTTACACTCAGTTTCTTCACTTTCCTCTTGAAATGTAAACTGTTGATTGAAAGCACGATAAAAATGTACAGGCCCATCTGTCATGGCAAAGATTAGGGTTCCATAAAGCTGATTTTTTAAACCACTGGGACAAATAAACAGATGAACGTATTCGATTGTGCTGTTTTCTTAAATGAATCTCTTTGGGCAGATGGAACTGTTAAAATCAATCAGTGCCCGACATTGATCAGAATCTTCTCTATGACTTTATTGTAAGTAGTGGTTCAAACCATTCAGAGTTTATCTTCAAGGTTCTAAAACAACTGAGCTGTCAACGTGGAGACTATTTGGTTCAGTAAGTAGACATTGGGTTTCTTCTGGAATGAGCAAACTGGTTATTCAGGCAGGCTCTTGTTGCATGAAGGAAGTCTTTTAATCAGATTCTGCATCAAATTATATGGGTCAAACTCGCCAACAAATTCTAACCCCAGGAAGACATTATGTTGATATGAGATTGGTAAATTAGGATGTGTTAAATCTAAGACAAAAATGTCCTTCCTGTGTTTCACCCACATCTCCTTTGGAAAACGGTGTTAAATTTAACTGAATTGGAAAACAGTTACTTAGGCATTCTTTTCCATAAGCACAACAGTAAGACTACTTCAGAGACAAAAAGGAAATTTCTTATCTGTCTTTTTTTGTTTTTTGTGGTACCAGGGATCAAACTCAGGACCTTGCACTTGCCAGGCAAGCACTTATTCCACTGAGCTATCTCCTCAGCCCTCTTATCAGTCTTGATTTACTAAGCAGTACTTTGTTTTTTGTTTTGTTTTGTTTTGTTTTGTTTTATTTTTGCAAAACCAAGGATTGAACTCAGGTTGTTGCACTTGCCTGGCAAGCGCTTATTCCTTATCCTACTGAGCCATCTCCCCGGCCCCTAGTTCTTTATTTTTAATGGAAATTTAGCTTTGGATTTACTGTTCCTCTACTTTGGAGTTCAAAAGATAAAGTCTATCAGATGGGCCAAAATATGGGAGTAAACAATAAAAACATAAAACATACAGGCTTCTATCCCATGTGATTTTTTTAAAGGCCAACATCAAGAGCAGTGTTCTAAAGGTATGGTCCCCTAACCAGGGGACAGCATCTTTACCTAGGAACGTGTTAGAAATTAGTTAGAAATGCAAATTATTAAGCCCTTCCAGGAGCTGGAGGAAGGGTGAAGCTCAGCAGTGTTTAAACCGATGCTGTAGGTGATTCCCCACCACGCTGAAGCTGGTACTCGGCTAGAGCAGGGACTGCCAGACTAGCACATGAGCCTCAGCCAGCCCGCTGCCCGTTGGTGAAGGGCAGTGTTACAATAAATATTTACAGTGGACGCTAACACTGCGCCTCCGCTGGGTGCACTACCAGCCCAATAATAAGAATTCCATTCTTCCTTCCCCCCACCTTTTTCTTGTTAGTACTTTTGCATTGTGAGGAAAAAAAAAATGTACTCAGCTACTGTTGCACTACATTTTTAGTTCCATCAATAGGAAAACCACAGAAATTAATTTTGTCTGTCATTATTTAAGTACTTTCATACATCTAAAATTTTCTCTTGGTCTGCAAGGCTTCAAATATTTATTAGATAGCAATTTATATATAAAAGAAGTTTACCAACCTCAGACCTGGAGAAGTAGGGAAACACCTGGAAAAGGTGTTAATACACAAAAATGTTTCCAAGTCTGAGAGTTCTTATCAATAAAGCATGCTGGGATTATCTCTTTACACAGCTAAGGAAGTGACAATGCTGTCCTGATACTAAATTACGTGAAAAACTAGCAGCTGCATATATTTTTAAATATTTCCCTTTTCTCTCTCAGTGTGATTATTAAAAATTGTAAAAGCTTGATTCTAATTGTAACAATTACCCATGGTTTAATTAATATATTGCTTAAAGATGCATGGGTATCGGACCTAAGAGGGTGGGTTTCATATAGCTTGATTATCATAATTACAAGCATTCTATTTTCTCATTTACTTAATTGATTGTCATAGATTTCTGGATGAATTCACACTGCTGGAAGAGAATTGAATACATTTCTAAAAGGAAAAAAATAACAGAAAGACGGCTATTTAGAAAAGTAATGTGTCCC